GCCAAAGCACTTTCTAGATCAACACCAACTACCACCACCACTACCAATTGTAATTGATGACCAACAAGAATATGAAGTAGACAGCATTTTGGAGCATTGCTACCTTTGCCATAGCAATGGATGTCTATAACTTCAGTACAAAATTCTTTAGAAAGGTTATCCAATCTACAATGCAACATAAAAATCTGCACAGAATTTTATCCATTGCAAAGACATAATTTGGAGATACCATTGGGAGCACAACGAATACATTCTACATTAGTAGAGGAAATTAATTGTAATAGGATATAGATAAGATATTTATGTTATTAAAACATAGAGATAGATAGTTGGAATCATGTTTGAGAAGTTATGGAAGTTTCTAGAATTGTGGCTAGATTAGCGAACTAAGTAGGATCCATTGTAGAACATTCTAAAATGAGCTTAGGATATTTATTTATGTAAGGTCCACCATAGAACCTTCTAAAAAGGGCTTAGGATAATTATTTAAGTAGAGTCTATTATCTAAGAATATTCTAGAAAGTCTAAGGTTGTAGAACAAAGTATAAATGAGATTGGCAAAGGCCTTTTGGGACTTTTGGTCAAGTATGGCTTCAAACCTTTTCTCTTAGAAAAATTTGGTTTTGTATCTTTTTGTTTAATTTTGTTCTGTTTTATTTCTGTTTGCTCATATTTGTCTTTTGTTTCTTATTATGTTTAATTTTATTCAATTTTTTTTGGTCCATTTTGTCCTACTTTATAATGAGATTTTATGTTGTTGTGAATTAGAAGGGTCTTAGACTCTTGAAATAGGTTGTTCTTCTTTCAATTCATGCTTCATAAGAAATTTTTGGCAAGCTTTGTTTAAGCTATTGGATACACAACTTGCCATGTCTATGGCCTTCTATCTTCAAATAGATGGACAAATAGAGCGTGGAAATTGGACCGGATTTAGGATTACAAGCATTTGTAACAATTCATCAAAATGATTGGGATGAATATTTGATGCCCTTAGACTATTTACAATGATAGTATTCAAGCAAGTATCAATCATTCACCATTCTTCATTAACACTAGTCAGTATTTAATTATGCCAACAACTTTCTATCATCTCATTGACACGAACAACTTGACAACAAAGGAATTTATACAATGGCCTTGCAAGAGGCATGTTACTACTTCTTTATTGCATAGAATTGACAAAAGAAAATGTAGATAACTACCGACAATACAAGACCTTTCGAAAAGATCATCAGGTGTTACTCTCCAATACCAACTTTCTACTTGCTACATCAATCCAAATTTGTAAGTTGACATCTTTGTGGCTTGGACCTTTCTGCATTTCTATAATGATTTCTAATATTGCATACTCCCTTAAGCTTTTGCCACATATTCAAGTCCATCTTATCTTTCATATTTTACAACTTAAGAAGTTTTATATTAAGCTAAGGTGCTTTTTGGACCAACATCAACCACCATTGTTACTACCAGTTGTGATTGATGACTAACAAGAGTATAAAGTAGATAGCATTTTAGAGCATCACTATCTTTGCCATGACAATAAATACCCAGAATTTTAGTACAAAATCCTTTGAAAAGTTTATTCCATGCACAATGCAACGTAGAAAGCTGTAGAGAACCTCATTCATTGTTGAGAAATAATTTGGAGTTACTATTGGAAGCAAAATGAAGATGTTCGACATTAATAGAAGAGAATTAACTATAACAAGATATAGATAAGATATTGGTATTATCAATTCATAAAAATAGGTAATTAGAGCCATATTTCAATAGTTTCTAAAAGTTTTTAGAAGTTTTCAGAATTGGTTTTAGGTTGGTGGTTTATATGGGATCTACCATAGAATATTTTAAAAAAAGCTTAGGATAGTTATCAAGATGAGGCCTAGTATTAGGGACATTTTAAAAAGTTCTAAGATAGTTGGATAAAGTATAAATAAGACTAGCCAAGGCCATTTGGATAGTAAATCTAGTATGGCTTTGATCTCTTTCTCTTAGTAAAGTTTGGTTTTGCATATTTTTGTTTAATTTGATTTTATTCTCTTTTTCTCTATTCAGCCTTTTATATTCTATTTTATTTGGTTTTATTCAGTTTTGTTTTGGTCTATGTTGTCCTATGTTGTGACGGAATTTATATTGCTATGGATTGGAAGGGTCTTAGATTTTAGAGATAATTCAATCTTGCTTCAAACTCTTTTGAATCAAATATTTTATTTTATCTATTATTATTAGATATAAAAAAATATTCACTTGCAAAGATAGATGTTTTAATAAAGCATAAAAAATGGATGATTATCATAGACATATATATTTACTCTGATAATTATTTAGATAACATGAATAGATAGAAGTAAATAAAAGTAGATAAACTTCACAATATCTTATTCAAAAGCTTCTTAGAAGCTTTATAGATATAAATTTGTCTTTATACATATCTATAGGTGATTAAAATATTAAAAACTTGGCTAACAAGTTGGCCACATGTTGCACATATTGGCCATTTGTGGTACAAATTGGACATGTGGTACACATATTAGAAGCTTCTTTAGCAAATTAGACATATGTCTTATAAGTTGGACATATGTTGGAGGTTCTATATAATATTGATACATAATTCTTAGTTAGATAGTATATATAGAGGGAACAGTTAGGTATTTTTCACTCTTATCAACTCTTTTCTTACTTTCAATTTAGTTTCAAGAGTTTTTAGTTTCTTAGTCTTTGGCAATAGTCATTCAAATTTCTTCTTAAATATACATCTTTTTTTATTTCATTTTTGTTATCTCTCTTTAAAAAATACCTTATTTTATTATTTATATTCTTTGAATTCTTTGCCTCAACAATGATATTAGAAGACAATATCTTTCATAGCACGTTAGAAGATGGATTAAAGATGGTGGTGAAGTTGAAAGTTTTCATTTATTTTTAAAAAAGTATAAATTTGATCCCATGCTTAAAAAATGAATCATATTTTTATTATTTTATTATCATTATTATTATTATTATTATATATTTTATTTTTTATTTTATTTTTTAATTTAAATAATGAATAAGAATTTAAAATAAAAATTACAATTTACTTCTATAATGTATTTATAAATATATTATTATAATTTAAATATAATTTTACAATTTGGTGACATTGAGGTTTTTATGTGCTGTAAACTACATTTATATTTTTTAAACTTTAAAAATTATCAATATCTTTATTATTAAAAATTATACTAATTAAATTTTAAAAATGTTATAAAACATTAAATGAATTTTCTTCACTCTAGATAGATATTTAACTGTTCTTGAACATTCTATGTAAACAAAGTACTTGTAGAAGTTTTTTAAACATAAAAAAATATTATAGAAGTATTATACAACTTTAGTGCTAAGTCCACAAGTTTTTTGGTTCTTTAAAAGTTTTTGCATATCTATCTAATATATATATATATATATATATATATACATACATAGATACATACATACACATATAAAGGCAAGACTAACATCATCTTCAATCTTCTCAATTTTTTTTTTTTTTTTTTTTTTTGTAATCTTGTCTTGATTAAAGACTCTCTCATTTCTATGTACTTATTAATATCTATTCTAACATCTTCATATTTTAGAAATATATATATATACATATAAACTTATTTGTTTTTCTTTTGCTATACATGATTATATTGTCTTCAGATATATCTGCATAAATTCTTGTCAATATTTTATATTGATGCTTTTGTTAGCAACTATAAAATCTTGTAGAAAAAACATTTATGTGCATGAACAATCTTTATATTACATAATATAATCATTTATATAAATGATTGATGTTAATTTGGTTATTAATATTGTTTTGATTGTTATATTGGTTTAGGGTTAAAATATAGTTCTGGCATCTTCTCAGATTGTTGTGTAGCTAAATAGATAATTGTGTAGAAATTACTTAGTATTATAATTATATATATATATATATATATATACATGATTTTATTATATTTTAATCAATCGAAATATTAATAATGTATTTTAAGACTAAATACAATATTTGTACTATGATTCAGTACAATGACCATTTTTAAAATGTAAAACTTAAATATTGATGATACTAGCAGAAAATGATAATGTAATCAATGAAAGTTATCATAATCAAAGAATGGTTCAAATATTATTAACATCTTCTATTCTTATATTTTGATTGAAGTGATTTGAAGAAATTACAAGATTCTTAAATTCCCTATTTTATTTTCCAGTACAAAAATTATCAACATAAAATTGGGATTTTTTTTTCACATTATTAGGAAATTATATTTAAGATACTTCACAAATGTGTGTACTGACTTCTAACAAGCTATGGATTTATTTGTGTTCTTTTTTATTAAAAAAACACGTTTCAACTTCCCCCATTTTTAGTATATGGCATATCCTATATTACATGCATAGAAATTTGTCTTTGGAAGAGTGACATATTGTCCGTCCTTTATCATTTATTTTTCATCTGCCCAAAGTTTTTCACACTTGGACGAAATGTGAACCCGTGGGCCACCTTGAGTTGAGCCGGGCAGGCCACCACACGCTGCCCGAGGCATAAATTTGGAAACGCGTGATCTTAAACTGGAGGCCAGCTGGATTCCTCGTGGCAGAACGATGCGACCCACGTGGAATATCCCCTCCCTTCGAAACATGAATGTCCGCCTCGTAATCTGTTATTTCAACCACACGTGTACATTCATTGGATGAATATCGTGGATGAGTCCAATGCGTGAAGCTTACCACCTCCTAATTAGCCGACATTTTCTTGACCTCGCCTTCTGTTCTCAGGGTTTGATTTCCGTCAACGCGAGGTATCATGCAGCGGCTTCGTCATCTAATTGTGGTTCAATGATATTTCATTCTATCCTTGCAGACAGACTCCATTCTAAGATGTTTCCACACCGAGAGGTTTGCAGAGGTCGTTGTGGAGGGATACTGAGATGGTTGAGATGTAGACTCACTTCGGCGAACCGCCTCCTGAGTTTGATACACTGGAACGAATTCTCAATTAGGCAGTATCCATGAACAATAGAATCGACGTACGATGCAGTCTCGGAGACTCATCACATGAATAATCTACTTATTTGTTCTCTGTGTGGCTGTAGAAGCTGTGAATTACAACTTCTGTCAAAAAAAAATGATCTACATGAACATCAAGCTCGATGATGAATGAGTATAGCCCTACGGTCGCTATTGTTGCTACAAAATAGGCAGCAGCTAGTCCATGATACAACGTGAGGTGATTTGAATGGTTCCTACACGTAGTGTTCTACTCCGCTATCTATTGATTATATGGTGCTCAGTTCAACTACGGGTATTATCAACTTTTTTGCCTTTTAATGTGGTTATGTACAAGCAGCATAGTATCGACTACAGCCCGACGAAGATAAAGATAACTCTCCTGGTTTCGTGCAGACCTTGCACGACTACACTGTTAACTGTGTAATGTTGGAGGCGTAATTCTTATGGTTAATCCATCGCTATTTTCTGTGCCTTGAACAGAGGCAGAGAGGACTTGAACGTGACCCAGACGCGTTGTAGCTCCTGTGTAGCTGGAGAAGAGGACAGAGAAGAACCAGCTAAAAACACCAAATGCCGTCCAAGCTGAAAAGCTTTCCTTAGCCCTTGCCAGACGATCCAAGCGATTGCTGCCCACCCTATACCACGAAGAAACAAGCTTGTTCAGCTGTGGTCAAGCTACAAACAGCCACCACTCACATCAAGGCTAGAATATAGTTTGAGAAAGAAAGAGAGTTGCCAAGATGGTGCTTTAAAGAGACGACAATCTTATGAAAGTCAACTCCACTTTGAAGTCATTTCTACCACATAAGAAATAAAACGGGAGAAAGTCATTTTTCTAAAGGGCCTATTTGATCACAGCAACATGATTTTCACGACACACAAATGAGACGTTGCATCTGGACCACACAAAGTCCCACATGAAAAGCATGATTCTCACCAGAGAGAATGATGACTGCCCAAACGCTAAAAAATGCAATCGAGCCTATCGTGAGACCGCCAAAGCCGAGCGCTCCCACGTAAAAGACAGTGATGGATGAGAAGAAAAACGCCATGATAAAACCAACTGTAGAAACGGTCACCAAGAAACTTGCAAGAGCAGCATTAAGGGTAGATGAGATAAAAAGAAGTGCCACTGCCACCATTCCCGTCAGTGCTAATAAAGAGGCTAAGGCCACCTGCACACAGAAATTGCAATTAAAACGTCAGAAGATTGCCCGTCGTTTAAGTGTTTTCTAAAATGTGGGTGTTACCACGGTCATGTAGAATTCCCATGTTTCTGCATACTGCAAATGAGGGCTCTTGAATATCCAATGCACGGGAATGGTTTTTCGCATAAAGTGGCCAGCTATATCACATGATACAAGATAAAGTTCTTTCACAATATTTCAAAAGTGGAATCACTTTCCCGTGATACACTTCTTTTCTAGACGGCATTCATTATTTCGAAACCTTAGATGTTGGCGAGAGGCTTAAAATGGAGCTAAATGAATAAAATTGGTACACCATATGGCTTAGAACAATCTACAGAAAGATAAAGAACTCTTTGTATTCCTTGATAAGAGATTGGACTTACTACAGCGATCAGGAGTCCTCTCCAAGGTCGTCCCTGACGCGTCCAACTGACAGCGTCAGCCAACGTGAAGTGGTTAACGTTCGAAGGTAACTTGTGCAGACGCACGACAGTGCGCAGTCTTGCAATAATAGAGACCGGCTTGGTATTGATATTTCCTACCCAATCGTGTAAGACTTTCTGAAGTGCAACTTCTGTGTCTTCCATTCGTTTCTGAGGCTCTTCAGATGGAACTGGTCCTGCTGCAAAATTTTCTTCATACTCCGCCATCCGTTCGTCGTGTGATGATGGTCCTGGGCAGTCCTGATTGGATTGATTCCGAGAAGAGATCAAGTTGAAACCGGAGGAGTGGAGCGGATCAATAAAATGGATCGTGAAAAACGAATGTCGCTAGGGTTGCGATGAAACTTATCAATAGATGTCGGCTGTGCACCCTGAGAACGTCAACTAGGCCTAATAAAAGTTAGGAATATATTTTGACGGTCGTTTTCCCCTCGATATACCCAATTCTCTGATGCAATGTGAAAAAATAAATGCAGTCACGCCAATGAGCCACTCCTCTCAACTCCAACCAGGCGGACAACACAGTTAGAGCGGGCGTAAAGATTCTGCTTCCCAAGAGAAATAAAAATCCATCTATCGACCTCGAACACAAATCAAGGATCTTTTGTCACCACCATAATAACCGCAGAAACTGTGGATCTAAAATGGAGATCGCCACATATTCACATCTGGCACCTTCTCACCCCAACCCCACCCAACTCAATCACAGACTCCACTACACTAGGTCCTCGGCACCACAACCACCAAACCCAACACCCCCACTCGCAGCAATCACACACTCTCCACCCAGCTCAAGCTCTCTTTCCTCCCCGCTCTCTCTCTCTGTCTCTCTCACACACACACACTTGCTATCCCTCACATTCATCACCACCTTAACACTCGAGCGACCTGCCCATCACGTACTCCTCCACGCAACATCGAAAACGACGAGACAAGCCACAAAATCCAGAAGCTAAACACGAAATCCCCTTGGTGGTACCCCACATCAGCGAACGCAGCAGTCAACCTCAACAGACTTCCCTCGAAGAAGAGCCCACCAGGGCATTCGACGCGTCTGCGGCGGCGCGGAAGGGCGGAGAACGCAAGAAACCATCCAAGCCACCCCCACCCACCATGCATGCAAACGACGGTCTGGGCATTTGTCTGCCCTCCCTCACGCACGGATGACGATGCTGCCCCACAACACAGAACCCCGAGTGTGAGTGACACAGAGAGAAAGAGTGACAGAGCAAGTGTGGAATCCCATGCTGAACGACGACGCCGGCGACGACTACCACGAGGAGGACGAGCTCGGGCGGGTGCGGCGACTGACGAATGGGACCCAACCATAGGCCCCCACATTCCCTGTTGGTACTTCTCATCCGCATTTTTACTTTCTGGCGGTTTGTTTTTTGGGCGGGGTTTCGAGACGAGCTACCCTGCCCGGACGGGCATCATGGAATTAGGGCATGTCACGGTGATACGTTACGACGTCTTTATGGAGGTTGTTTTCTGGTAGTATGATTTTTAATATTAGTTTTTTTTTTTTTGTTTTTTTTTTTTAGTTTTGCTTAGAGTGAGTGTGTCCATGTAATGTGTGTATGGTTGGATCCAGCAATTCACAGCACCACGTCTTAATGAGGAGGGGGGGCGGATGCTATTATGGGCCTTTTTCTGTCCCCCTCCACGAGGAGTTACTTTCTGATTTCTAGGGTTTCTCCTACTTTATGGATTTTTTATATGGAACCAGAAGAAGGTCCCCCCCCCCTCCCCCCCCCCCATTAAGAGAAGGGTGCTGTATATTGCTGGAGGTATGGGCTGGGTTATTGTCGTAGGGGGTCACTTTTTTATGATACAAGTGAGAGGACCTGGGAATATCTTTTGACAATTTTCTGTCTTTTGTTAGTTGGAAAAGATTGCAACGTACATCATGTCTGTAAATGTCGGTAATGGGTATATACGTATTTATTATTTTGCATTGAAAATGATTCTTTGAGAGGGGATGACTTGACTTGACAAATTGTTAGTCAACCATGCATAACAGTGCTAGAGTGCACCAAACTAGGGAGTTTGGTGCTTGGTTGGTTATGCAAAACTATGTAATATGTTCTTACATAATGATTTAAATTTAACATGCTTAAGTGTTTTTGTGTGCAATTTAATTTCTTATATTTATTTATGATGGAATGAAGTAATATGTATGTATGTATGTATTTGTTTGTTTGTTCTTTCTTCTTTTTGTAATAATTCTTGACTATTTCAAACATCTATTGGTTCAAATATGTATTGGTTTAAATGTTTAGAATTTCTTACCTATATTCAAAATAGCTTTATGTATTTAATTAAAACAGAGTCTATTTAATTATTTTTTTCATTAGTGATAATTAACTTAAGTTTGAAACCAATCATTTTGAACTGTTTCATCAATAGTTAATAGTTTAAATAGTAAAATAAGATGCAACAAGATAATTTGCCTACCAAAGAAAGAAAGAAAAAAATAACATTAAATAGAATCATCAAATGTCATGAATAAAACCGTTATGCATTATATATTGATGTCATTATAAAATTTACATTTATGTTCATATGCATATTCTCAATTTTAAAATATGTAGATTAATATAGTAAATGAATTCATAATGTGTATAATTAAAAAAATAAAACTGAACATCTGATTAATGCCAAATTTTAAAATTCTTGTGAACATGTAATATATATATATATATATATATATATATATAGTTCATCAATATTTAGAAATAAATATTTCACAATATTTTATAGAAATATTTATGCCTAAAATTTATAAATAATGTATTAATTCTTTTAGAAGTTAGTTTATGGTGATTGGCTCATATCTAACTGTAAATGATAAAACATTTGTTAACATATACTAAATTCCAAAAAAGAATGAAAGAAAAAGAACAACATTTCGCTTAGAATTAAATCATATACCTACATATGGTACAAAAAATAGCTTGTTTCAAAGAGCCTCACTTAATAAATCAGTATCCAATTCTAGTTGTGCAAAACATCTTCTTAAAGAAAATTTTAACACCATTTTTCAATGTTTTAGAAAATTCGATCAAAATATTTATATCAAAGATGTATCACGATGTTTTGTATCAGGATGAAGACGATAACATATGTTTAGCTTAAATTGGCTGAAGATCTCATTTTTTATATTCTCTTTTATTGAAAATGACCATAATTCTTTTGATAATGTTGTGATGATCTTTTACTTATATTGATTTGATCATAAGATTGATGTTGCTTTCCTTCATATGCAATACCGTCAACTAAATCACTATCTAACAAAATTATTGATCCTTTCATATCTAATTCATTTTAAGTTTTGGTTAGTTTGGTGTTTTAAAATGACAATTATAATAAAATAATAAATATGTAAAATATCAGGACATTTTGTTTTAAATTCAAGCAAATTACATTTTTTAATAATTTTATAACTTTGTTTTAGGGATAAAAATATAATGTACCTCCAATTCCATGTTGACATGGGCTGGGATGAACACCAATACCATCATAAACATTTTCCATTTGCGAGCTTTCATTAGATGTCAAATTCATTGAAAAAGGCATCTTAGAACCATTTCTAGTTTGAATATCCAACAAAGATTCATCAAAAATACCATTTTTGTTTAAATCAACATTAGTTTGGAAATTTGAAGCTGCAAAGTTCAATTCATTATCTTCTTCCAAAGGTATTGTTGTGAGCTCTAAGTTGTGAATTTGGGTATTTTCTAAAGCTTCAAATGGAGGTGAATTCCATGCTAATGAGGCATAATCTGGTGGAGGTCGAAACAAATCTGTTGAGAGCATTGACATGAGGTCTTTTTGTTTCTGCACTTGTGAATTGTTTACAGGCAATGGAAACAGATCATTTGTTGTGGAGAGTTGTGCAAAGTGAGGATCATTGGTTTGAGAATTTCTTTGATATTGAGGTTTCAAAAGATCAACATTCTTGAGGTTTGACTGAACTTGCAATTTGTTTTTGTCTACTGAAACATCAACATTAGCCATGTTTTGTCTATCATAAGTGTTGCTACTTTCAGCTTTCTCTGATGCATGCATAGTGTTTTGAATTTCAAGCAAAGCCAATGCAGGTTGATTGTTTAAATTATCACTTGATGCCAAAGGTTTTGCTTTAGGCATATTACAATCCTTCATTACCACATGACCAATACATGGTTTCAACTTTATATATATATATATATATATATATGTATATATATACACTGTTTTGACTTTGTATTTTATTAGAGGATATAAACAACATTTCTATCATTAGAATATTGGTCTTAACAAATATTTCTTTAAGAAATCAGTCTGTAAATTAATTATAGTAATTACTGGTTTTAATTGTTTACAATTCATTATAATGTAACTTACTAAGCCTGCCAAGAGTGGAGTCAATCCTACAGTAATTGGAATGAGAACCAACCACCATGCCCACCAATGGTCAATAGTCACAGTCACACCAACTGTTACAATTAATAGCCAAATCTGAAACACATTACAATTGCTCACAGTTTTTTATTATCTTGTAACGTGTGTGGTAAAAAATCACACACATTTCAAAATTTATTTATATATATATATATATATATATATACAGAACTTCAAATACTTCCATACAATTCATTGTTGAAACTTTTTCCCAGATAATTTTGTAAGTAAGCTATTCCATGATGTAAATACTTTAATAAAAGGAGTACTCAATCAGTTGTGTATTTTACAGCAATTACAACAAATCAAAATTGTAACTCCAACTTATTGGTAGTGTACAGTTAACATGCATTTTGACTTCAAAATTATCGTGTTTATAAAAAGTTTACTTGTAGTAATCCACCATATTTCAAATAATCAACAAATTTGTATCCACCAATGGAATACACCATGATATTTGTTGAGCATCCTGTGGGTGTCATGAACCCGGCTGATGATGCCATCATAAGTGTGAATGCAAAGGGCTTGAAATCAAGGTTTTGTTGCTGGGCTGCAGCTAATGCCACTGGGAACATTATGGTTACCGCAGCATTGTTTGTAATTGCCAATGAGAAAACAGTTGTTGCAATGTATGTGCATGTAATGAGCCCAAACTGCAAGAAAATGGAACAAACAAAACAAACAAACTTTAAAGAAACCACCCACTTTAAAAAAAACATGCAAACATTTGCAAAATCCACTTCTAGCATGCATAATTCAATTTCTTTTTTCATTATAGATTCCTCCCATCATAAAATGTGTTGTGATTTTCAACAACCATAAACAACATTTCATCAAAAAGTTCATTAGGTTATTAAAGATTCATTAAAAACAAAAATTTAAAATTAAAAATTAAATCAACAATATTGCCTGATTAATTATGCTGTCTTCCTATGTCTCATGAAACTGATGTTGTGCAAAATCCATCAAAGTCAAATTTAAAGAGGTTTAAAAAAAAAGTAACTAATGGCAAAGGTTGAAAAGATCTAGTAGGATTATCTATGAAAATGGAGTGTTTGCACAGAGCAATACTAACATGAATTAAACACGGCTGATTGAACTGCTTACAACAGTTTTTCCTGCAAGCCCCATGAGGACTTTGGCCACAAGATCAGCTGCCCCACTTTGCACCATTGCTTCTGAAATCCCAAAAGCAGCTGATATCATGATAAGCACTGGCATTTCCAATGCATCCTACACATAGCATGTGTGTCTGTATGAATATATATATATATATATATATATATATACATATAACAATAATAATAATACTAAGTCAATCAATGGCATATTCTATATATGATATTGAGAATTAAAAATGATAGATAGTTTGGTGTAAAATCTATTTAAGATAAAGTTAGTTGCTAATTAATTTAGGGGAATGTTAATAGACCCATGTTTTTACCAAATACATCCACCCTTAATGAAGAATATGGCAATCATGAGGAATGTGATTAGTTTTAATTGGTTGCAAATCCAATAGTGGAGAAATGAATGTAAAGGTCATTTATTTATTTATTTATTTATTTATGTTCATGATGGTTGGAATGGGTTGATTTTGTAAAAACTTGGGTCTATTTAACACTCTCCTTAATTTATTGTTTTATTTATGTCTAATGCATGTTGTTTGAAAATTGAAACAATGCATCATGTGTAAAGTTGCAATGAGGGCTAAAGAGGGAGAATAATTTAAAGATTTTTCTCAATATGAAATTACAAATGTTGTACCATTGCATCTTGTGGTGTTAAACATCTACAAATTAATAGACCAGCGCAAGCAAATAAGGCAGCTGTTATAAGCTCCACTCCAAGAGCACTTCCAACAACCATTGCTGCAACAATAACTGTTGCTATCCCAGCTTTTTGGCGCTGTATTGGAACAAATCCTGGGAGCTTTAAAAAATAAAATGACAACAATATTATGGATTATCACATGTATACAATATGCTTTTAAATGAATAAAATACTTTGAAGATTTTATTTATTTATTTTGTAATGAATTAGGCATAGAATTTTGAATTCTGTTTCTGATGGATTAGTTTTTATTTCATCTTGTGTCTAGACCATGAGTTTTAAAACTGTAAAACCACATGAATCAGTATTATCACATTTTTGGGTTTTGAACTCATTGAACAAGAAATGGGTGGTACCTTGGAAACAAGAGCAAACGTAGAATTATTTCTGTGTTTTTCAACAAATTCTGGACCATCTGCTACCATCAATAAACAATCTCCAGCAGCAAGCTCTAATTTTCCAATAGGACTATACATAAATAAAATTATCTCAATCATACAATACACATTATCATGCAAGTTAAATTTATAAAATAAAAGTAATGAATTTTCAAAGCACACTACATTCTTAGTGTTTTGATCAAATACATCATCATTAATATTCTTGAATTATTGTTGTTTTTGAAAATAATAAATTACAACCAATTAATGATTAGATAGCTTTCAATTTCTCTAACATTTTTTTTTTTTTTTTTTTTTTTTTTTTTTTTTTGGGTTTTTTTGGTTTTTTTTTTAAAAGAAGCAAACATTGTTGTTAAAATTTTCAATTGTAATTAAAAGATATGGGGGTTCTCACCAATTAATTAACTGTGCATGGCGATGAATGGCAACAATGGCAGCCTTGTAATGAGTCCGAAATTGGAGCTCAGCAACACGTTTGCAGACCATTGGAGATCCTGCTGCTATCACGGCCTCCACAAGACATTGCCTTACATTTAATCTATTCAAATCAACTTGTTCATGACCCTACAAAATCAAAATGCAAAAAACTCAAATCATAGACCCTTTCAACATCAAGCATGGAATAGATTGCATCAGTTACAAAGTTTCAGATATATATATATATATATATATATATTTATATTTTAATAAAATGTTTTGGATGGATTACCTCATCTTCAGAAAGTGCTAAACCATCAAGTTGGGTCAAAGACAAGATGGAGTCAAGAACACCAATGAATTGCAGATGATCTTTAGCACGCATTTGAAAGTTTCCAGATGGATTTTGATATGATTCATCATCTCGCCGGATTTGCAACAAAGTCAGCCCTGGTTGCCTATTTAGACCTGCTTGTTCAATAGTCTTTTTACACAATGATGAAGTTGCCTTTATAACAAGCACGATGCTGTATTCTCTGAAACCATTGAGTACAATGTGAATATGGTTATTATACACACAGTGCCACATGTGTTTCCAAAATCATGCTGGAAACTTGTATCTCTGAAAGTAATATTGCCCAAAGATAATAAACTACTGCATTCTTCTCTAAAATAGTATTGAAATAAATCCACACCGAACATAACTTAAATATTGCATAAAACTTGTTTAAATTATTCCTTATATATATATATATATATATATATATCATCTCTTTTGGGAATGAGGCAATTGAAAAAAGAAGTAAATATGTAACATATCCTACACCTTTGGTTTACAATATGTGCATATTTTGAGCATTGAATTTGAGTACCTTGCAGTAAAGGTAGTGATTAGTGTGGATAATCTGCTTGGAAGTAATTTTTCTGAAAGGGCAAAGATGTAAAGCAAGCCAGCAACAGTTACAGGAACACCCACCACACCAATCTCAAAGATGTTTACTTTTAGGTCGGGAACTTTTCTCGCGGCCATTGATAATACTACGAGGTTGGTGCTTGATCCTATAAGAGTCATAGTACCGCCTAACAATGCCGCAAAACTTAGTGGCAATAAGAGTTTTGACGGAGCCATATTAACCTGGAAGCAAATCCATGTTCATTGTTCAAAAACATTCTTGAAGTAATTCAACATCATTTTTATGTAAATAAGCTTTTAAAATATTTTAAGGTCTTCTGATTAGAATATTACACTGATTTCTTTAATAAAAGAGTTATTATTATTATTTTTTGCAATAGATAAAAAAAAATGTATCTATATATTTTTTAGGATTTGGGTTCAAAGCTATAACAAAATTTAGACCTTTTTTGAGTATTCCACAATGGGTGGTATCATCATTGCTACCAATGGAATATTGGCAAGAAATGCACTGAACAAAGCCACTGGGACAGTGAATTTTACAAGCACCCATACAATACTATTTTTTGTCTTTGTTATATGTTGGCCTGGTTTTATGATATCTTTTTTTGTACTAAATAACATTGATGAAACATATTCCAAACCTCCAGATTGTTCAATACCTAATTTGTTTTAAACATACATTTTCATATATAAATATAAATATATATATATATATATATATATATGCAAGCACATGTTAATCAGGAGGTAAATATTTCTTTAGCAATAAAGGAAAAATAAATTGATGTTAAAAATACAGCCAAAAGTACAAGATATACTAAGTCTAAATTACTACCTATTTGATGTGTTAAACAGTACCTTTGGCAACAATGAATAAAATTGCCACTGCAAGCATAGCTTCATCAGCAAATCCATGAAAAGCTTCTTCTATGGTTAAAATTTCAAGTGGAATGAATATAATTAATATTCCCATCATTATCATATACGGAGGTGCCAACTCGGCCACCAAAGAAATCAACATCAATGCAACCAAACCTATTGTGGTCCATCCTTGCCATTGAACTTGTGAAACATTCATACTTGAAGACGGAATCCTATCATCTATGCTTGTAATATTTAATTGACTTATATTCTTTACATTTGTCATTATTCTTGGATGTCAATATTGTTTTATAATCTTGTGTTTGCTTTTTCACTGATTCTCACATTCCACGCTGACAGAATGTCAAGCTATTCAAATACTTTATTGCATGATATGGTTCTGAAAATTATCACATTAATACAATTCTTTCAGGGTCTGTATAATAAATTTCAGGGTATCACTCTGATTACAGGCAATTGTTTAAATTCTTTTTCAAATATAAAGATTGAAGTTCCAATCAATCATAAATCTGCACAATAGTTGTTACATTAATAATTCAAACTGAAAACAAAATATAAAGATTAAACCTAATTTGTTGGACAGATTCTTACGAGATCAAGATACTTTCTGAATATTTAAGAATTTAAAAGGAACACAAAAAAACTTAAATTTGAAATGACATTCTAAAAAAAGAAATGCAATCATATTGAGTATGACTTCAAAATTTTAAGTGGTAGATGAGAACTGAGATTCTATAAAATTTAAATAAATTTCACAATTACAGAAACTAATTAATTTATGAAAGTGTTTTTTCATTAGTTGTATAAAACTATATTATTCATTTTATTTTTTATTTTAAAAATCATATATGTGTATAAATATATATATATATGATTTTTTAGAATGGTTTTTTATTCTTTAAATAAATATTCTTATTTTCTACAATATATTTATAAATAAGAAATTTAACATTATTATATATTTTGTATTAAAAGCAATGGTATCTATTTGTATGTATTTATTTGAAGTATGATCTACCTATAGATACATCTATCTTAAATTAAATAATTTTATTAATAATAAAATGATTTAAAAAAAATTAACCTCTTTGTGTGTGTTTTTGTTTTAGTTTTTTTGTACATAACTGTATTTCTTCTATTTCATTGTGGAACTTTCATTGATTTGATTTAATTATAATTTAATTGAATCCAAAATTGCACTTAATAAAGATTGGAAATTTAACTTGATTGCAAAAGCAATAAAGATTTAATTGATTGTTAATTTATGATTAATTATAGCAGTATAGTTAAAAAAAATTATGCACAAGATTTTGGCAAATAACTTTTTAAAAAAAAATCTATGGAGTGTGCAGAAAAAAGAATTGATGAAGTTATTAGAAGAAGAATTTATTTTGCATTCCTATGAATATGAATAGATGATTTTAGTGTCTCTAATAGGAAAAAAATAATTTTTTATATTATTTGTATATTCATTTATATAGTTTGTTCTTTTGATTGATGGAATAATATTTCTACCATACATTATGGAATATGATAGACTCACTTACTAAAAGCTAAGTTTTACAAAAATTTCCAATAAAGCACTTAATTGTGTCTTGCATTGTATTTGAATCTACAACACCTAAAATCCACATGAAGTCTTGAAGGTGCATCAATAAAATTTGTCAATAAAAATACATATTTATGTATTTTTTTTATAATTGTAATTAAAAAAAGTCACATTTATGGCAAAGTTTGAAGCACATACATATTTTGGACTAAAAGAAATTTTAGTTGTAGAAGTATAATATTAAACAAGTCACCTTTTATTACTTTTTTCTAATTTCAAATAAATAAGTTATTAAAAATAAGATATTAGCTATTCAATTATAATAATTAATTTTAAAAATATAATAATAGTATAATTTTGAGTTATAACAAAGCTATTGAATGAAAAAAATTGATTATTTATAGGAGATCTTAATTAAAAATATTGTAAAATATTACCTCAAAATTATAGATAGTAGTGAAAGAGGTAATAAATTTAGTAAGTACTAATGCTACCTCTTTGCAAAGTAAACTTCTACTTATTTTGTATCACCATAAATAAAACAAGCTTAAATAGCTAAAAAACATATAGACCACTTTAAAAAGAAGTTAAGAATAGTTTGTAGGATAAATTATTAAAAGAAATAAAGAATTGATATTTAAAGAAGACCGGTTGTAAATCAAGGTCGAAATCAAATCTTGAGGCTCAAAACTATGTACTTACAATAATTTTGAAGTTCTTGGATTGATTGAATAAGTGAATTGGAGAGCAAGCTACAAAGAAGTTCTTTGGAAGTTGATTTTAAGTGATTTGAGTTTGTAATGCCTTTATAAAAGCTTTGTAAAGTCAGGATTGTTTTGGAAGTGACTTTAGATTTTGAAAAATATAAAGAATATTTACTTAAAAGAATTATGTGAGATTAATAGATAATCTTTAGATATAATTTTGTAATTAATTAATTATTTTTGCATTAAATATGTGTCATAAATTTGAACTTGATCAAATGGTTTATTTGAAGTATATTAAAATTAAAAATATCAATGTCTTGAAAATTGAAGTTTAGGAGACTAGTAAGAATTTCTAAGATTTGCAACAATTTGTAAGTTTAATTGATATAATTTATTTTATATTAATGTTAGAATTGATTTTCAAAAAGTTTAAAAAGTTTGAGAGTCATTGCATGGTATCAAGGACATGAATTTCAAAAAAAGAAATCCTCAATATACTCTTGTGTCACTCAAAAGAACTAAAAAGTCACTCAAAGATGATATAATATTGAATAAGAATGGCTATTGAAAAAAACAAGAAGATTAAAAAGCCTTGAAATAAGACTAAAGATTAAAAAGACATTGACAAGAATGACGAAGACTTCACTCTTGTCTCCATATATATTCTTAACTAAGAATTACATGGTAATGTCCTATAAGACCTCTAAAATGAGTTGACTTTACAAGACATATATCTTAACTTGCATAATTAACTTATTCTACAAGCTATCAACACATGCATAACTTATTGATCAAGTTTCTAACCTATCAATCAACTACAAATACATATAAAGTCAAAACAATGTCAAAATAGATTTTTTAAGAGGTATTATAAAATTAACTTACTTTTATTTACTTTTAATTACTTCTATCTAATCATATGGGTATTTATTAATATATATATATATATATATATATTTGTGATATTATCTTTCATTTTAGAAACAAGTTCTATAAAGAAAAATCATCATATGTTGATGAAATCCAAGATGTGGAAAATTATATTTGCCACATACTTTGATCTTTGATTTCTTCAAAGATAGTTAATAGGTCCTCTCAATTATTGATAGTGTCCCATACTAAGGCAAGAAGACTACCCTATCATTTGATCATTGTTGAGGCTTTTGTAACTTCCTTCAAATAAAATATTTAAAACATTAGTAGAAATTATTCTTATTTCTAATAAAATTACCACACATCGAGAGTTTCTTTTAAAGTTGTGATATCAAATACGTTGTATATTATCATTTGTTTGATATAGGACATGTTGTCTTTGAGGATCTTCATCTTGATTATGTCGGCTTGAAGATCGTAACAATTATAATATCTTATCTACTAAGTCAACAAGTAAAAGTTCTTTGGTTGAATCTACTGGTTGTTAGTTTTCCATCTCTTTAGCGTCATAAATATACAAAAGCTACAAAGAAAGGTAGAAGGTAGATTTTTTTTTTTTTTTTTTTTTGAATTTGCTTTCTTTTATAGCAAAGATTTGCTATTATTCATCTTAATTTTGATATATATTATTGATGAAAAGCCTCAACTCTCTTTGCTACATTTGTAAGTTTCTTTGCTGGCTCCCATGTGTATTTTACTAATATTATAACCACGCCAATGAATAAGCTATTCCAACTTATTTTAGTGTTGCCTTAAATCTAAGACTTCTTCTCTTCAAACTCTTGATTATTATCCATTTCTATAGAAAGAAGTCGCATTCATTTTCTTCTTGAGATATTTATTGTCTTATATGGTTTAAAAAGAGATGGGTGAAATAAACGATGGATCTTCATAGACTCTGATAGATATAATCAGTAAGCAACAAGATTAATTTGTTGACTAATATGAAAAAATCTAAGCATATAATAGTCCATCTTGTTATAAGGATGAGTAGTCTTGATATTGCAATAGAGTAACCATACTTTATTATCCATGTTGAATTGTGATTGTTCCTTGTGATAGGCATGTACATTAATTTTTTGTCATTCTTGAGTTTTTTTTAACTGTACCTTTATTGTTGCATGTAGCTTTGACAAACAATTTGCCAAATCTTCTACTATAAGATTATCAACTTTTAAAAAGTCAAAAGTATCAAATCAGGGATGATAATCATAATTAGTAAAAAAAAGTATTTATTAAATGGAAAAATATATTAAATTATTATATACAAACTCTGCTAATGGTAAAAGAGTTGTCCAATCATCTTGATGATAGTTAATGGTATACCTCAAGTGTTGCTCCAAAACTTAATTCACTTGTTCTGTTTGTCCATTAGATTAAAGATGAAAAATCAAAGAGAGCTTTATATATGCCTTTAAAATCTTGAAAAGGATTCTTTAAAATCTTAATATAAATTGAGTCTCTTTATATAATATAATATCTTGAAGCAATTCGTCACAGTAATAGATATTATTAAAAAAAAAATAGCCATTCCTTTATGTTTGATAGATTTTATACATAGTATAACATATATCATCTTAATAAAACGATCTACTATCACGAATATAAAATTATACAAACTTAAAACTAGAAGATCTATTATAAAATCCATTGAAAAGAAAGACCATGATTGTTTTCAAATAGATAATGGATGAAAAAGTCTATAAGATCAATAACGAGGAATTTTGGATCTTGAAGAAGTATCACATGATTATACAAAGTCTTTAACTGCCTTCTACATTTGAGGCCACCAAAAATCACTCAATATTAGTTCCAAAGTCTTGTTGTATCTAAAACATCCGGTTGTTAGAAAGTCATGATAAGTTTGAAGAATATGTAATTAAGCTCCACCTTTTGGAATATATAATTACCTCTCAAAATAAAATAGGTTGTTTTTGAACTTGAATTTGGAAGTTTCATGAGACTTAAAAGAATTATTCTTAATATCATAAATAAGAAGATCAAAAGACATACTTGATTGAATTTGTTTGACAAAAGTAGAATCAATAGTCAATAATGATTTTATTGTTTAAAAGTGAAAATACTTTGGCTTCAAGAAAATCATTCTTTGTTGATTAAAAGATGAATTTTTCTTCTTTTGGTACAAGATAAGATCATTTAGAAAGGATGTCCAACAAACCTTATTATTTTTTGGATTGATAAGTGGTCTTGAAATCAAATCTTGATAAAAACATGCTCCAATGAGCTCAGCAATGATTCAAAACATGTACCAATGTAAAATATTTAAGATTCTTGTAATCTATATACATAGTCACTAGACTCAAAGTGCCTTCTAAATAATTAAGTCATTCTTAAAATGAATCCACAATTAAAACGAGCTCTTTATTATAGATCTCATAATTGATCTTAATTACTAAGATTTTTTTGGAATGACAAGCTATTTGATGGAATTTTTCATTTGCTTCTATTTGTGATAATACTGCATCTAAGGTAAAATCTAAT